GTGCTGACATACAGTCAATGGGCCGCACCCCAAGAAGGCTACCAATCACGTGATAAGAGCATGACAACTCATAGCCAGTGGAAAGTTAAAGAAGGTGAATCAGTATATAAATCAAATGTAATGAACCCATTTATATAATACTTCTGTTGATGAGACAGGGGCCATTACACTAGTGACGAGTGTGACTCCGTCTTGTCTTCACTGATGTGAAAGTAATGCCCCGTGGAAGGAGCTGCAGTGCCTTTATATTGGAGGAGAGCCGGCAGATGACTTCTCCTAATTAACACTAAACTGGTTAGATGTGCGCAGCTGTGTTTGCCCAAGTGCATGGTCATGTCGCCGCTGGTCGGTAATGCTTCCTAATTATTACCACCTGGGTGTGTCTTGGCTAGGTATAGTTTCTTTAACACGGCCATAAAGCTGGGTTAACTCAGGTACCTTGACCATGACCTCTTCTGGGTCAGGTCTTACTATCAGTGTAGGGTGTGTCAACCTATGTGGGTTACCACGTGGGCATCTACTTACTGTTATATGTGCTGTATTTCTCTGGGCTGTAAGCTGTGGTCTGATAAAGACTCATTACACCATGTTTACACTGTTACCAATGTTTGCACTACTAGTACCAATGTTTACACTACTACTACCAATGTTTGCACTACTACTACTAAAGTTTACACTATTACCTATATTTACACTGCTTCCAATATTTACACTACTACTACCAATGTTTACACTGCTTCCAATGTTTACACTACTACTACCAGTGTTTACACTGCTACTACCAATGTCTACAATACTACCAATGTTTACACTGATACTACCAATGTTTACACTACTACTACCAATGTTTATACTGCTTCTACCTATGTCACACTACTTCTGATGTTTACACGACTAATACCAATGTTTACACTACTACCAATGTTTACACTACTATCAATGTTTATCCTACTACCAATATTTACACTACTACCAATGTTTACCCTACTACCAATGTTTACACTACTACTAATGTTTACACTACTACTACCAATGTTTCAATGTTTACACTACTACCAATGGTTACACAACTACTACCAATTTTGAGACTACTACTACCAATGTTTACACTACTACTGTCAATGTTTACACTTTTATTTATTTTTTCCTTTTTTTTAACGTGGCCTCCAGCCTCCCCCAACAGCCACACCTTCGCTGCCATTTTATTACCTTAATATTAAATATCCTAATACATAAGTAGCTATCCTAGTTGTGTTGAAATAGTTGAGCCGCAGATCTATGCGGCATTCAGTGACTGTAGTCTCCTAGTCAATATCTGCAGCTGTTGTTGGCTTTGGGGCCGAAGCTCTCGTTCCCCTGAGGCAGAGCAACGCCTACCGAAGGAAAGAGAAGGACAGTCGACATCTCATCCAGGTTGTAACATAACTTCTGGGCTGCTGCTTCTGTTCGGAGTTCACCTCCGTGAGTCTGGCGTAGAAACATTATGCACTTGGTCCCATTTCACCAGAGGTTGTGAACACTAGAGGAGTGAAGCTGCCTTGATCCACGTTTTGAATTCTCTCCCCACATGCCCTTATCTTGTCGTTCTCGCTCCTCCTGTGTGCAGCATCGAGAGTTAAGTTACGATGACATGTGGCCATGGGATAAAAAATCCTGATATCAAAGAAGGCTCGCTGTTCCCGCGTCCAGAATCCTTGAGCACTGACGTCAACACATGCTTCGTTGGATGTGTTTGAAGTTCTATATTGAAAAATCTCACTCTAATGGAAGGAGGGTCGGTTCTACCCTGACATCACGGCAAATTTCCTTCAACATATTTGCTGTGAGATCCCCTACTTCGTCATGCTTCATTCATATGAAGCCCCCTTTCTTGCACACCATGGCGTGATCGGCGTGATCGGAAGAGCCACAAATGCATTGGGAGGGCAAACCTTCCACAGACCTACCGTACCTTAGAGCATTGATATCTGTAAATTCTTGTTTATTGAGACTGAAACTATTTGCCCTTATCAGTAACGTAGTTAACCAGCTCAAGGCGCTCACCTCCCGCGCTATTGCTACTTTTTTTTAAAATTCTCTGGTACTTGCAACAACAGTTGCTGCAACTTATCACTTTGGCTGTGCTGTCGTTCTGTCTTAATGGACCTTCGAATCTTGTTTATGTCTCTGGTATCCACCTCCCCTCTTGCGTTATGAGCTATTATGTGGTCCGTGAGGGCTGCCGTGAGCTTAACTGACTTTTGATGTTCGGTGGCAGCAATCTCCTCTGGATTGGTCAATTCCATACCTCCCAGTCTCGGTGGTAGTGTAAGGAGTGATCTTTCTGTTGGGGTTAAGTGAGGGTGTTTCACTAATTTGGGAATGAAATTGACATAGATAGTTTTTTACAGAGGGTGAAGGAGGGGACCAATATCAGGGATAGTGCGCATCAGGTAGTTCCAGCGATGCTTTACTCCATGGGTGAATGCCACAAAAGCCGCATGAGGCTCTGTGTTAGCAATCTCAGACAGAGCTTGGATTTCCCTAACCCACTCATTCACCTTTCCCGTTATGTACTCGGTCTTGAAGTCAGTCGTGCCGATTACTGCGCCCAGGTGTTTTTGGTCTTCCTTTGTTATTTTGACCTCACTTCCGCCAAACACCTCCAATGCCCACTCATAATGTTCTGGCATCACAATGAGTAAGGACTTGCTGGGGTTTGGGTGGTACCCTATTCGTGGGCCTCGCGATGTTTCCAGGTCCCACCGCTTTTTGATGTCCTCCACTTTTCCTGCTCCTGTAAGGTCATCAGCGTACGCCACTTGTTTGATCTCAGTTGTTTCAAATTTTATTGTGTGTTGGAGCACGGATAGGCCTATTGCGTACATTGCCATTGCAACAGGGTCCCCCTGTGTTGTTCCCTCGGTTGACTGTATGATGGTATCACCTCTTAGAGCCTTGTTGTTTACTATATAGAGGTCTGATGGATTCATTTAGGGAGTTTTCAACATACATTGCAAAGCTTGGACACTTGATCTTGATGTTGTGCAGTGTGGCCTTGCGGTTAAGTATGTTGAATGCTTTTGAAGCGTCAACCAGGAGAACGGCCTCATAATCACGCTGCTCAAATATCGTTCTCATGGCGTGAATGGCATCTTCCCCTCCAGCCTGGTGGCCAGCACAAACTTGCGGGTTCCCTGGTGCTGCCCTGACATCATCCTTTACCATCTCAATTATGCATGTTCCGATGATCCGCCTCAGCACTTCCCCCTCCCCTATAGGCCTACATCCTGCATTTTTTTCCAGGGGAATGAGGCGGCAGGCCGTCATAACATGGAGGTGATGGCAGCACGAGGATGCCAGCTTTCTTGCAAGGACGGCAATGGCAGTGCAGAGATCACTTGCTACAGGGCCAAACTTGTTAGTGCTGAGGATGACACTCCAACCGTTTGCGTCCAGACCTGAAGGGTCGGCTCCTCCTCGGGTTTTCAGTGCCTTTTTCCACACCATCCCTCCTGTTATTTTCTCGAATAGGACAGCATTTGGTGGGATATAGTCACCGCCAAAGACACTTTTACCATACGCATATTGTTTCCAAACTTTCTTGCAACATCATTGGTGTTTTGATTTCCGTCACCTGTAAGTTTTAGTCTCTCAAGGGCCACATTCTGCCACATTGTCAATCTTCTCTTCATTGCTGCCGCATTTTCTTTGTGCTTAGTCTTTGTGTGTGTGTCCCCTGACAGAATAGATGTGATATTATTGCCAGTATTTGAAGAGCTAAAGGGGCAAGGAAGCAGTCCTGAGTGTAATTAGTTATGAGGCGAATCATCTCCCGAATCATTTCTTTGGTGGCCGCACAGTTGGGTGGTTCAAATAGGTTAGCTGGCGACCACCTGACAATTTCTGAGTAAGTTTCTTTAACCCATATGTCTGCATTTTCCATCGACATGCCATTCCACTGTGGTGTCTGTCTCTCATTCTCCTCGTGGACATCTGCTACTATTGGAGCAGCGATTATTAGTACTACATTTTCAGGTTGAGTAGATTCATTTAGGGTATCATCGGGCGGTTGGGTCCCGGCGATATCCACTGTGGTCTCCTGAGTCGGCTCCCTACCTTGTGGGTTTCGACAATTGTATCCATTTCTGCAACCCACACATGGTCATTTGTTTCTCGCACATTCACAGCTAGTGTAGTTTTGGTACTGGCTAGCACAGACGCAGCAATGTCTGTTACCCGGCATAGTGTTCAGCACCTCGGGCGGCAGTTACGCCCGCCAATGACATCTGCTTTGGTCCCATACAGAAGAAGAAACTAGTTCGTATGAGTAAAGGGCAGAGAGACTACAGGCTGGACTGCTGTGTCCGGGTAGTAGGGGCATTCATGCGCGCATGGGTGTATAGGCCACTCCCTTGTGGTCGACTATCCAACATCAGAATGATACATTGGGAGCAAGAATTGTCACACCTAACAACTGTTTATATATCCTTGGTAGAAATCACCACTATTTCTATGGTCGCACTGATGTAATATTAGTTTACATGTACTGTATATACTCACTTGGTCGGCTGGCACCACATAAAGTGATCGTTACTTGGGGTGGGGCGACCACAAGCTTAGAGCACTTGGCCCCATAAGGGCGAGTCTCGACACTGGCACTGGCACCTTGGGCGGCAGTTACGTCCGCTTCCGACATCCAAATACTCACAGACTCGCTTCGAAGTCACCGGTGAACACATGGAATATTTTCGATTAATGCCGTAAGGGATGATAAGAACCTTCGGTGACGATGCTTAGGGTGACATCTGATATTCACCTGCACACTGTGAAATTCCCGCTCCCATACACCAATGTTTACGCTACTACCACTAATGTTTATACTACTATCAATGTTTACACTACTATCAATGTTTACACTACTACCAATGTTTACACTACTACTAATGTTTACAATATTACCAATGCTTATACTTCTACTTATGTTTACACGATTACCAATGTTTACACTTCTCCCTCAGACAACAACCACATCTACGACAACGGTGCCTTCGAGGACGACAACCCCATTTATGCTAATACTGAGGGCCAGTGAGGCTGAAACTACCCCTCGCTTCAAGAGTTTCCACCTGCTACAAGATCCACCACTCACTACAAAACTTATCAATCACTACAAGAACTAGTAGTGAGTGAGTGTTGGTCTTTTAGTAAATGCTACCTTTTGCAGTAGGTGGTAGTACATACTTCAGGAGCTAACACTCTCTACAAAACTTATCACCCACTGTAAGACGTAAGAAAAAGTACTCTGATATGCTAATGTGTTTTTGGTACAATCAACGCAAGCAACACTAGACTAAGTTAGCTATATGTCTTCAGAAAAGCTACATGTCTCATCCCAAACTACGATTCTGTCCACATTAAGGCTTTAAATCTTACCTCTGACAGGAGAGTCTGTACGTCTGTATCGGATGTAATAACTTCACAAGTTACTCCGATATATCAGTGGTCCTTATTGTTGGTGATAAAGAAAGTGTGTGTGTGTGTGTGTGTGTGTGTGTGTGTGTGTGTGTGTGTGAAAGGTTCTTTAGGAATAACAGAGCGGGTTTTAGTCTGCGTAGTTTACCTCTATGAACATCAAATCCTGAATTATTAACTCATAAATTGGCAGAGGGCCTTACTGATTTCGCTCACTATCCTATTTTTTCATTAGCCTTCACCTATTTACATGAATGTACCAGTTATATTTAAGTAATATGTGTATTTCTGAATCACTTGCATATTACTATCCATCTCACTTAATATCATTGTTTGGGTACGTAAGTCGTATTGAGTATCACAGATTGGTTTTCGCTCTGGGTGTTAACACTTGCTCCTCTGGCTTCACCATTTAAAAGAACACATAATTTCTGTTAATTCTAAATTCTTTAGACTTTCTCTAGTTGTAAGTAGAAAATAGTAATCTTTTAGATGAAGCGATTAGTTGGTGATATTATTTACTCAAACCATAGCATTTAAGAGGTTGCAAATTAATAGAGGTGCTACAGATTTCATGTACAGTACAGTTGTGGACAAAAATAATCCAGCAGTCAGGGAGGGAAGTGGAGTATGGAAGGGTAGGGGTAGGTGGACATCACAATTCTGTTTTCGTAGTTTAATTATGAGGCAGACAAAGCTTAAACTCTTTCCCTGCTAATTTATTTTGTCCACAACTGTACATAAGATAGTGTGAATGCTCAATGTTGAGTCGATGTACAACACTCCGTTCTGAATGAGGTTTAGTTTGTATATTTCTGGTTCCCTGCCATATCCTGCACTACAGTACACGTATCATTTCACTAACGGTTGAAGTTCTCACACACACGTTTCTACAGTTCTATATGTGTAGCTCTCTCAGACCGGGAAGTCTCTCCAGAAATTATTGGGGAGACGAACTCATGAAGTCAAAGGAACTCTTGAACTGGGAAGCTTAATAAGAGAACTGTGGAGAACTGAGGGCTTCTTCCACTTTATGATTATTGCAGGTAGATGATGATGATGATGATGATGATGAGGAGGAGGAGGAGGAGGAGGAGGAAGACGATGAGGAGGAGGAGGAAGATGATGATGATGAGGAAGAAGATTTTGATAATAGTGGTGATGATGATTTTGATGATAGTGGTGGTGGTGATGATGATGGTAGTAGTGGTGGTGGTGATGATGATGGTAGTAGTGATGATGATGATGATGATGATGATGATAATGATGATGATAAGGACATGACACCAAAACCTCCTCAAACAAGAGTTGACTGTGGGATCTTATAATCACATAAGCAATACAAAATTAAATCGAAAACATAAATGACGATGAAAATAAGCCAATAACTAAGAACTATGAAGAACCAAGACATTTCGACATCAAGCCTCAAAATATAAAACGGTTTAAATAACCCTGGCAGTCAAAAAAGTTGAGCAAAAGCACAAAACATTTGGTTTACAAGATAACATTCCAATTACCACGTTGACAGTGTTTGTATTCGTTGGCACAAAATATATACGAGGTAAATGTATAGTCGCGCAGAAGTCCTTTATGTATGTGTTAGTAATTAAATATCTTGGCAGCTGTTGTGTTGATATTGTGTACAGTGGTTTAAGTGGAATGTGGTTTAATAGCTTTAAAATTTTGATTTATATAATACCGTTAACTAAATTCCCTCATGGTGGTAGTTTTACAGGATGATGATTCAACACTTATTCAATGATGGTTTAACCCTTTAAAGATGATGGCTCAGCCCTTGGAGGACACGGGCTTAATCCTTCATCCACAAATTGTTAAGACTTCCTCGGGATTAAAACATTAGATGGTTACAAGAAAGATAAAGAGAAAACTGTTAATTGTTCCCTATGCATGCTTAAACAGATGATAATTATTTTACACTCTTACCACGCTGCAAAAAAAAAATCAAATAATTATTACATTGGTTATAATTCTTTACGAAGATCTTCCGTATAAGTCAAAAGGTTAAAAAAATAATAATTATGTGTATCGGAGTTGTGTTATTTTACTGTGTTTAAGTACGGTGTGTGGCGATTCCCATTGAAGAAAAACACTCCAGTAACAAGGCAGGCTTCCATCTCAGGCTGATAAATTTTTTTGGTCGATGGACCTTTGAAGCATGATGTTTGATCGTGGAAAATTACCGAGGCTATATAACTTTATTCGCTAAAATCAAATAATAAAAACTTTGATATTTCCCGTATCATCTCTTTCCTTATATACAAGTACAATATATCCAAAGACTATCACTTAAATCTCGCTTCTTGAACCGTGGACGAGAAGGTATTTACTACAGAAAAAAAAGGAGACATCAAAACTCTATGTGCTGCCTACAGTACCTTGTGCCCCTCAGTAAAGCAGTTAAACATTACTAGCTAGGGTGAACATTCAGCATTACTGTAACACCCTCGTCCACATTTACACCCTAGACTACATCTACACCCTGGACCACATTTACGCCCTGGTCCACACCTACTGTACATCCTCATCCACATCTACACCCAGGACCACATCTACACCCTGGACCACATCTACATCACGGTTCACATTTACACCCTGGTCCACACCTACATCCTGGTCCACATCTACACCCAGGACCATATCTACACCATGGACCACATCTACTCTCTGGTCTACATCTACACCGGGGTCCACATCCTAACCCCGGACCACATCTACACCCTGGGCCACATCTACCACTACTACTTTGCTGTCACTCGGAATCGAGTATGACGATCATCCACATATGATACAATGATATGAGTTATTAAGGATGGCACTTTCATTGGTGAGTTCTGAGGTCAACAAAGAGGCCGATACGGGACCGGCAAGGTCGTCCACAGATGTGGCAGGTGTGGAAGGCTACATCTAGTGTGGGAGGGGCTGCGGCAGCGTCTTTCCGGCGATGACGCTTGTCTGCCTCTATATGCAGTCGGGCTAACTCGAAAGTATTAACTCCTTCTTGTGAGATGCTCCTCCAAGCGTCACGGTGTGGAGTAATCATCTCCCAGGTGAGGGGGGTCGATTTGGCACCTCACCATTTTTGTCTGAAGACTCTCGTTATACCTTCTCAGTTGCCCGCCGGCATTGCGTTTACTATTCGTTAGGTGACTATAAAGTAGCTGTTTTGGTAGTCTACTGTCGTCCATGCAGTTAAAATGGCCAGTCCAACACAGTTGTTCAGAGATAATGGTAGCCTCGACGCCCCTACAGTTGGTGTCACTGAAAATACTGACATTTGTTCTCTTGCCTTCCCTGCGAACTCAGAGGATGGAACGTAGACTATAGTACGTTGGTGAAATTTGTCTAGTGCCTTCTGAATGTGACCCATGTCTCACTGCCATATAGCAGGGTGGAGAGGAACACTGCTCAATATACAGGCAACTTTATAGATAATTTCAGTTCCCTACAGCTGAAGACATGGTTATGGAGTCTGCCAAAGACATGCGATGCATATTTGATCCACTGTTGAATCTCTTCATCGATGTCTGCGGTGTTGGACAGGTGGGAGCCGAGATACCGAAAGTGGGTAACGTTAGAGAGGGTAGTAACCGTTAAGCTGGATGGATGGTGGAAGTGTGGCTGAGCCAGGGGTAGGCTGAAAGAGAATCTGAGTCTTAAAATAACCTTCACCTCAAGGCTGAGATGTGCATACTCATCTGCGTAGGTGATCAGTATCTCCTGTAGGTCGCGTTCAGTGTGAGCGACAAGGGTGAAGTCGTCTGCATCCTGAAGTATAATGGAAGCTACCCACACCTACATTCCTGCCTGGAGTCTTCTCATGCTGAAAATACCCTTCATCCGGTACTCGATGTCCACCCCGCCGGCTAAATTGGCTCTGGCATGAGTACTGTACAGTAAGGAACGCAGCCAAGAAAATGGAAAAGAAAGTTGGTTCCAATACACATCCCTGTTTTACCTCCATTTGGATGGGGAAGAACTCAGACTGGGTGCCATTGTGCATGCCATCGTGGAGTTGCCTCACAATGGCAATGAATTTTGGTGGGCAGCCAAAAGGCTGAGGGTCCCCAAGAGGACTTTCCTGTTGACCGAGTCGGAGGCTGGTTAGGTCAATGAAGACCATGTACAGGTCACGATGCTGTTCTGTGCACTTTTCCTGTATCTGGCGGGCAGCAAAGATGTCAGTAATGGCATGTGATGGTCTAAAGCCACATTGAGATTCTGGGAGGAAGTTTCCGCCTCAGGAAGAAGTCTGTTTAGGAGGACTCGGGCGATAATTTAGCTAGCTATGGGCAGTAGTGAGATCCAGTGGTAGTTGCCACAGTCTGACGAGGCTCCCTTGCTCTTATAAATATTGACTCCAGGAAAGCGTGCAGACGGCTGGTAAGCAGAGGTCCTCCTGTTTTATATTGTACACCTCGGCTAGGAATCCATCAGGCCCTGAGTCGTTGTTATTTTTCATCTGTTTGATGGCAGTAGCTACCTCATCCAGGGATGGAGGATAGCTGAGGTGAGTCAACTCTGAATGCTGAGGGACCTACTGGGTAGTTAGGACATCCACAGTTGTGGTTCGTTTGAGCAGAGAATGGTAGTGCTCTTTCCAGCACTGAAGAATACCTTCTTCGTCCTTTACTGAAGAGTTACCGTCGGATGAGCGGAGGGGGCTGTGCCATAAAATGTTTTTGTGGAATTGAAAAACTCGCTCATCTTGTTTTGATCTGAAAGTTTTTGTGTTTCACATGATTTATTTTTAAACCAGTCGTTCTTTAGCTTGCGAAGTTCACGCTGGGCTGCCGCTTTCTTCTTGCAGAAGTTATTAATTTGCTTTTGTCCGAGACTGAGGGTTGTTCTGGCAGTCAGTTAAAGCAGCACGTTTATCATCGACGAGTACATTGATTTCCAGGTAATTTTCATCAAACCAGTCCTGGTGTATTCTTGTGATCAGGTCAAGGGTCTCTCTGATGGCTTTTCTCATGACAGTGTCGAAAATATCCCATTTGGTATTGGGATTTGAGTGGATTGTTTTTCGGTTGTTTATCAGCCCGTGTTCGAGCTGTTCTCTGAAAGCATGTGCTACCACTGGATCAGTGTTGCAGTAGTCTGAGCCACGCAAGGGTCATGCGATGAGGATATCTTGGCGGTCTCATTCTCTGGCAATGATGTAGTCAATGAGATAACAGTGTTTGGATCGTGGGTGTTCCACGAACTCTTGAACTCGTCGGCCTGCCTAAACAAGGTATTAGTGATAGTGAGGTTGTGTGCTGCACACTTGCTGAGGAAGAGTAGGCCGTGGGGATTACACTTGCCTAGTGTATTTCTCCCTATGATTCCCTGCCAAATGTCAGCATCTCTGCCAGCTCTAGCATTGAAGTTACCTTATCTTCTCTAGGGATAAGGGTTAGCACTCTGTCAAGGTTCACATAAAAGGCCTCCTTGATGTCATCCTCTGCGTCCAGTGTTGGGGCGTATGCACTGATGAAGAAGGCATGGCATGAGTGATTCAATGGAACTCGGAGCGTCATGAGGCGCTCGTTGATCCCAACAGGCATTTCAGTTAGCTTATGTAGGATGCATTAGCGGAAGGCAAAACCAACTCCATAAATGCGGTTTCTCTCCGCAGTAGGCTTACCCTTCCAGATGAAGGTATAGTATGACTCCCGTTCTGTGAGGCAACCCTCATCTGGGAGCCGGGACTTACTAATGGCTGCCATGTCGATGTTACACCTAGCCAGCTCTTTTGCCACAAGGACGCTCATTTGTGCCAGTATCCAGAAGGGTCCTGACATTCCATGCAGCGACCATAAGAAAATGTATAGTTTGTTTTTGTTTGGATCTGTGATAATGATTGTGTTTTGGACCGCATAAGGATGACCTTATTGGGTGTGGTTGCCCATATAGGTAGGTTGTTTAAGCATGCTATGTTTACCCTAAACATAGCTTTAGCCCCCTCCCCATGTGAGGAGGGGGCTGCTCAGTCGCACACACAGGACCGGATTGCACTGCTGCCTAGATCTCAGTGGAGTCATTGGGTTACCATGGGGCTCTTCTGCCTATACCGCCAATGGGGTCTTACTGGAGCTCTGTAAGCATGTCTGCCTGATGCGGGGTTAAACCGCAGAGTTTTCATTCAGGCTTTACTCCCTTAGCCTTATACCTACCAAGGTTAATCCGCAAGGCAGCCGGGCTGAGGTTGGTAGGCACAAGGATGCGTCCACATGCCAGTGGGCATATGCGCCATCCTTCTGGGGCCCACTGCTGCTCCGAGATCCCCTGCTGGTCTAGCCTGGGCCTACGAGACACCCAGTCACCTTGTGTTTCCACGAGGAGGCACAGCAGGAGTCTTAATTTTGAAGAGGCTGTGTACTGGCAAGGGAAGACTTACAGTCTGCAATTTGCTTCCCTGTTCGCCACGAAAGCTATCCAGCGGCAGTAGCTGGAAGCGAGAAGAACCAAGCAGTGTTTGCAACTTAATACTAACATAATGCTCCCACATTAGACTCATTACACCACCCCATGTGCACACACACATCTACACCCTGGACCACATCGACACCCTTATCCACACCTACATCCTGGACCACATCTACACCCAAGTCAACATCTACACCCCTGGTCCACATCTACACCCTGGACTACATCTACACCAGGTCCACATCTACTCCCTTTTCCACATCTACACCCTGGTCCACATCTACACCCTAGACCACATCTACTCCCTGGATCACATTTACACCCTGGACCACATCTACACCCTGGACCACCTCTACACCCTGGATTACATCTACACCTTGATTTATATCTAGACCCTGGACCACGTTTACTCCCTGGTCCCAATCTACGCCCTGGTCCACATCTAAACCCTGGGCCACAGCCTCTGCAAATGAGCGAGTGTGTGAGAGACACAGGGGTCATGGTGAATAATGCGCCTTCTGATGGATGAGTCAAGAATAAGAACCGAATTTAAGGCGAGACTGTCTATGTGATATATACTTATTAGTTAACTCATTGATAGTCACTAACATTTCAATTATTTGTATGTTTTAGTGTTTAATCTCTGTGCTTTCCCAGAGGATGACTTGACACACACTTCGGTACTGTTTCCATTTTCTTTACAGTTTCACGCATGGTGCTGGTCACCTCTACACATTGAATGTTTATGTGATAATCATAGGTTGTTTAAAAGAGTACCTTGTTAAAATGATTAATAGGGTTGTAATTCTAGATAAATTAACAATATATGTGTATGGTCAACTTTGTAATTAAAATAATAAATATTGAAATGAAACTGACTTTTCCCTAATAATCTTGGTACAGTTATAAAATATATCATTAGTTCATATGAATTACCATAATACGTATTAAACCCTTTTCGAAAACCTGAACATGTGGCATGTGGCACTAAGCCAAAGTTTTATGGTCCTCTAAAATAAATATATATATATATATATATATATATATATATATATATATATATATATATATATATATATATATATATATATATATATATATATACTGGGAACTTGTGTTTTTCGTAATATAAACATATATATATATATATATATATATATATATATATATATATATATATATATATATATATATATATATATATATATATATATATATATATATATATATATATATATATATATATATATATATATATATATATATATATATATATATATATATATATATAAAACACTGGTAGAAACAGGTTACAACTTTGTCACGTTTAATTTAATGTTCTATACCTGAAAATCAAATTACATGAATAAGAAACATAACATAGAATTTTCTTATTTACAACTCTATCGTGATTTATATGTGACATGTGTGCATTATCATTTAATAAATTTTCTGCTAACTGGGGCTTTAATTATGTGATTAAACAACATTGCACACAATTTTCTAAGTTACAACTCTGTGTCATATTTCATATCTAACATGTGTACAGTTTCATCCAAAAGTTCGTTAAGTCTCCCAGGTAGCTATTAGTGCACTGCCTGTTTCAGATGTATGAACTTGAGTCTGTTACTTCGAACCTTTAGAGTCATTCGTATCGGTGTCATGTTCTGAGATAGTTTCAAACATCTGAAGCAGGCAGTGCAGCAATAGCTGGCAGGGAGACTTAACGAACTTTTGGGTGAGACTGTAAGTCATCTTTTGTTTAATTTTCCATACCTGGGGGTATATGAGGCTGGGTAACAGCATACAACTTTCCAAGTTGAAGTTTTATATAAGATTAAGGAAAAAAATAATCACCATTGACGAGAAAGCTGCCTCACAAACATTTTTCATACCAAAGTTTACAAGAAACTTGTTAGCTAGATTTTTAACCGTTGAATGTCTCTTTGTTAAAATAATCCAAAACTTTGCTATATCATCATAGCCGTCAAAACTCACCCTTGCCTCGTTGTCAGCCTGTAATTCTACCATTTCAAGCGCAAAAGAAACACCCTGTTTTACATATGCCTTAAACGGAACTGAACAAAGTCAAAAGACTTATTAAGCAACACAGGGAATCTATCATTGAAATTTGCTGCCATTTTCTGTCCGCATCCGTGAGAGGCAGAGAGTGAACTGAGAAAAGTTCGAAGTAAGTTGTGAAACGTTGTGAAGTCTGATCTGACATATCAGAACATAATAATGGAAGAAACTGCAGCGGGCCTATTGGCTCATACTAGGCAGTCCTATTTACACCTAACCCCTACCCCTCATATATCCATCCAACCTATGTTTAAAGCTATCCAGCGTATTCGTGTTTGTGATGATGTTTGGTAACTTGTTCCACTCATCCTCTACTCTATTTCGAAACCAATATTTACCTATCTCGTGCCCAAATCTAAATTTGTCTAGTTTAAAACCATTATTACGAGTTCGCTCCTGGTTGGATAGTTTGAGTATCTTTGTTATATCACGTTTGTTTGACACTGACTTCCATTTATACATCTCGATCATATCGCCCCTCACTCTACGTCTCTCGAGGGAATGCAAATTAAGATGCTTTAACCTGTCTCTGTACTCCAGGTTCTTAATGCCCGGAATTAGCCTTGTCATTCTCCTCTGAATTCTTTCTAGGGATTCTAATCAATTCTGTAGTATGGTGACCAGAACTCAACCGCATAATCCAAGCGAGGTCTCACAAGCGCAAGATATAGTTTTAGTATAACCTCGCTAGGCGTGTAACTAGCACTCCTTTGTCTGAACCCAAGTACTGTACTCTGTTAGCCTTGTTTCGAGCAAATACACATTGTTGACTAGATTTAAAATTCCTACTTATCATTACTCCTATTTCTTTCTTACAGTCGGACTTCTCAATAACAATTTTGTTCATGTGATACCTGGTTTCTCTGTTTACATCTCCCAGACTAAGTACTTAAAATTTTTCCACATTAAATTTCATATGCCATTTTTCAGACCATGTGATTTTTTTTTTATCTTCCTGAAATTTTGCAGAGTCCTCGTCATATTTAATTTCACGCCCTATTTTATTATCATTAGCAAATGTACTTATGTTGGTGTCTACGCCTAGATCTATGTCGTTTATGTATATAATAAATAGTAATGGTCCAAGTACTGAGCCTTGGGGTACTCCACTAGTGATGTTACCCCAATAGAAATTAGTGCTGTTAATGCTTACCCACTTTATCCTGCCCTTTAACCAAGCCCTAATCCATTCTAGAATATCTCCTCCAATTCCACGAACCTCCACTTTTCGTATTAGACTTTCGTGGAGGACTCTGTCGAAGGCTCGGCTAAAGTCGAAGTATACCACACCATAATCGTGCCTATCATCCAATGATTCGAAAACAGTTGAAAATAATGATAATAGATTAGTCAGACATGATCGCTCGTTTTAGTACATAACTTCTCTCCTCACACAGCGCAAACAGTGGAATGATCTGCCTTTTTCTGTTTTTCCATACTCATACAATCTGTCTCACTTCAAAAAGCTGGTTTTCCGGCATTTTCGAGTCGTAGATTAATATAATCTTCTTTTCTATTTTTAATTTATTTTCACTCTTATTCTTTTCGCCACTAGGTCCCGTTGTGGGTGTATTAGCCCCTTAGTCCTTATATACAGTAAATGCCAGGGCAGTACATTGGGTTTATATATTCATATCAAGCTACAATGTTTCTATAGTCGGCAAGCAGCTCTAAGAGTCTAGTCACCAAGGACGTGACAAATGCCTTGCGGTCATTAGAAAAATATATTTTTGGAAAACTATAAAGAAAGACATATTGCTAAGTGTTTGTCATGTGCTCAACATAAGGGTACTACAAAGTCACCGGCTCCAATTCTACAATATCCTACACCAGAACGTCCGTTTGACACACTCGCGATAGTCTTGTTACAACTTCCGAGGAGTCATCAGGGATCCTCGTACGTCTTAGTGTGTGTGTGTGTGTGGATAATTTTCCTAGATTTGTGATTTTAGTCTGCTGAAGGATAAAACAGCCGAATCTGTGGCCTATGCTTTAGGGATGAATCTTATATGTCCTTTTACTACGCCCAAGGTTCTTCTCTCTCACAATGGATTGGAGTTAAAAAATCAGCTAGTAGCACAAATTTGTGTACAATATGGAATACAACAAAGTTTTATTACGGCCTATCATCCACAGGCTAATGGTCTTGTCGAGAGAGTCAATCGCAAAATCCTAGAGATACTTCTCCCGATTGTTGTGATATGCAACACTCATGGGAGAATTGGTTACCGCAAGTTGCAGCATCCGTTAATGGTTCGATTAATAGCTCTACCGGCAAATCACCCTGCTATATTGTTTATGGCATAGACAAACGTCTGCCTTATGACGTACTTACGGACAAGCCATGCCCTGTTTATAAAATGGAAGATTTCGCGACAAAACAGATCAGCGTTTTTACAGATATTCATGGCCAAGTACTGAAACATTTAGCAGCGCCACACGCTGAAATGATTTTTAAGCAACAAAAACAAGCTAAGCCTGTCGTGTTTTTTTAGGAAAATCTTCGAGGTAGTAGATAATGACGAAAATTACGATGTTATTTACTTAGACTTTAGCAAAGCATTTGACAGAGTACCGCATCACAGGCTTCTGATAAAAATTAAGGCTCATGGTATCGAGGGGAAAGTTTTAAATTGGATAAAATCATGACTCACCGATAGAACGCAGAGGGTCAGCGTAGATGGTGTTAAATCTGAGTGGGGCCGTGTAACCAGTGGGGTTCCCCAGGGGTCAGCACTAGGCACACTCTTGTTCATAATCTACATAAACAATCTAGATACTGGGATCAGCAGTGACATAAGCAAGTTTGCGGATGACACCAAAATAGGGCGGCAGATAAATTCAGGGCAGGATGCAAATGCTTTACAGGAGGCTCTAAATAAACTGCAGGGGTGGTCTGAAAAATGGCTAATGAAATTCAACACCAGCAAGTGCAGCGTATTTAATATTGGAAGAACAAATCCTGACAATGAATACAGCCTTAACAACATCAACCTAGAGAAGTCGACTTGTGAAAGAGACCTAGGGGTACTTGTAAGCCCGGACCTACGGCCTAGAAAACAGTGCGTTAATGTTCGAGATAAGGCAAACAGAGTATTGGGTTTTATATCTAGAAGTGTAAGTAATAAGAGTGTAGAGGTCTTATTGCAACTATATCTTGCGCTAGTCAGGCCGCACCTCGATTATGCGGTTCAGTTCTGGTGCCCTTATTATAGAATGGATATCAATTCACTAGAGTCGGTGCAGCGAAGAATGACGAAAATGATTCCGGGACTTAGAAACCTTCCATATGAGGATAGGTTAAAGAAAC